ATGTGAAAAGTTTACAGACGGACGGACAGACACACAGACAGACGGACAGACAGACGGACAGACGGACGGACGGACGACGGACAAAATGTGATCAGAAAAGCTCACTTGAGCCTTCGGCTCAGGTGAGCTAAAAAAGGTCACTTGAGCTTTCAGCTCAGGTGAGCTAAAAATTTTAATAGAAGGTGTGGTGATTCATATAAATAAACCTGAGTCCCCTTCCCCTAAAGATGCTTTGTGGCAAGTTTTGTTGATATTAGCCGAATGGTTCTGGAGAAGGTGAAAAGGTGGAAAGTTCACAGAAACACACAACAGAGAGACAGACATATGCTAGACACTTCAAAATCAGAAAAGCTTGCTTGACCCCTCAGGTCAGGCGAGTTGAAAAATGTATAATATTTTTACCTGCAGAGTGTCATCTTTACAAAACGGTCTTGTAAAAGACATCCCTCCATGATCTTCATAAATAATGGTAATGAATTTCCGATCCTCTTTACGAGGATAGGAAATGACAGCATCATCAGCCATCTTTAAAAAAGTCCATTTATATTTAATTAACAACAATGCTTACAAATACAACAGCTAATATTGTGAAATATTCACTAAAGTCTGTGCTATGGCTTTTCTGCACATAATGGTTTAAGCTCTTGGTAAAGCATATCTATCATTATTTAAGACTTCAAAATTGTATATGTCCTTTTTAGAAAAAGGAGATTTAAGTAACTGTTATTGAGGCAATGCATTAAACTGTTGCCACAATAGGTTCAGTCACTGTGGATTTGTTACAACTATATACCCACAATCATAGGATAAGAAATGAAGAAATATTCCAGGCATTTACTAACCTTTTTTCTCTTTATCTTCATGTCCATGAGCTGGAAAGAAATTTTCACAATTGGAAATAATACATTTTTTATTTATAAAATGTGAAATCAAGAGAAACATGTACATGGAATAAAACTAGCCACAATAACACAACTGTTTTCATAAAATAAGCTATCCCAAGATTTCTGTTGAACCATTACTTTTATATATATATTAAATGGAATATTGAAAAGGCATCAAAATATTCATAAATGTAAAATGGTTATATAGTCAAGAAATCTGCTGTACTACTGCACATGGTTTACAGTATTGTAGCACAAGGACATTTTCTTTGGTCTTCCTTTTCACAATTTATTTACTAACAATCATCGTTGAACCAAAAACTTACATCAAAAAAGCTTTTTTATCTCCTGGTCTATGATCTGTAAGGGAAAAAGTTGTTTTAAATGACAAGTAATTCAGAAAATTTTTTCCCCAAATTAAGGGGAAAACAAGCTAATTCAGAGGGGTCAAATGCTGGTTCGGGTCTCAAGGGGTGATACTTATGCCACTAGGTCTCACCACTTAAAACCTTGAGTTAATGCCCACCGTCTCTAAATAGGTTCTGCCAGCAAGTCACATGCCATACCTCCTCGTGGTGACCCTGGAAATGCTTTAGTAGCTAAGTGGCAGTGGCAAAAGGCGAGTGTCCGGCGCCTTGAAATAACTGGAACCCGTGGCTAAGGGAAGGATACCCTGACAGAAAACCACTGGCCCTCCGAGTCCAGGGGGTTGAGCTTAGGGCTAACAACCCTAACTCATAAAAAAGTATTGTTACGGAAACAGTAACGAGGAATATCTATATACCTGTGAATGAGAGCCTCTCTGGGACCTGCACTGGAACCAGTATGACTGTAAGTAGTGAAAGCCATTGGGAAACTACCAACACGAATAGGGAGGCCCTTAACACGGCCAAGACTAAGATCAAAATAGGATTCTGGAATGTACGTACTATGTATGCAATCGGTAAATTAGCACAAGTAACAGCCGAGATGAGAAGATACAACCTGCACGTGCTGGGAGTCAGTGAAAGCAGATGGACTGATTCAGGTAAAATACGCACAACAACAGGTGAAACATTACTGTATTCTGGTCGAGAAGATGGACTACATCATGAAGGGGTTGCAGTTATTCTCAAAAAGGGAATTGAGAAGTCTTTAATGGAATGGAAGCCAATAAACAGTAGATTGCTAACAGTACGGCTTAGAGGAAAGCAAGTCAACATGACATTATTCCAGTGTTATGCACCCACTAACGATGCAGATGAAGAACATAAAAATGCTTTTTATGAACAACTACAGCAAGAACTAGACAACACACCAGACCACGATATTAAGATCATCATGGGTGATATGAATGCTAAAGTTGGAGCAGATAATGAACTATACAATAGGACAATGGGCTGACATGGTTGTGGAAGCATGAATGAAAATGGAGAGAGACTTGTAGAGTTTTGTACTACCAACAACTATGTAATTGGAGGAACACTATTCCCCCACCAAAACATTCATAAGTTAACCTGGCACTCTCCAAACATGAGAGACAAAAATCAAATTGACCACATCATGATAAATGGAAAATGGAGACGATCATTATTGGATGTGAGGGTGAAGAGAGGTGCCGATGCTGATAGCGATCACCACCTGGTAACAGCAACTATCAAACTAAAACTGCGTAGCACAGAGAGAAAGAACATGGCAAGAAAGAAATTTGATGTGGATAAACTTAAAGACATCAAGGTACGACATGAATTCAACATCATGCTCAAGAATAAGTTCGATATATTACAAAATTTGGAACCAGAGGACAACATACATGTAACATCAATCGACAAAAAGTGGGAAAAAATTAGCAACATCTACACTGAAACTGGTGAGAAATGTATCGGTTATAGGCAGAAACATAGGAGTAAAGACTGGATAATGCCTAGAACGTGGATAATGATTGACTCAAGAAGAGATGCCAAAAAGAAAGTAAATGAGGCCAAATCTCTGAGACTTAAAGAGAGACATCAAAGGGAATACAGTGAAATAGAGAAGGAAGTGAAAAAGGCTCTACGTGCAGACAAGAGAGCACACATAGATGACCTAGCAACAAAAGCAGAAGAGGCAGCCAACAGAGGAGAGCAAGGAAATCTTTACAAAATAACCAAGGCACTGAGTGGCAGGAATAGACCATCTCCCAATCTACCTGTCAAGGACAAAACAGGAAAGTTGCTGTCATCAAAACAAGAGATGGAGGAACGATGGACAGAGCATTTTAAGGAAATCTTAAACAGACCACCTCCAACTCATGAACCTGACATCAGTTATCCAGCAAATGACCTAAACATAAGCATTGAACCACCACAAATTCCAGAAATTGTCTCTGCAATACAAAGTCTAAAAAATGGAAAAGCCCCTGGATATGACAACTTAAATGCAGAATTGTTCAAAACAGATCCACTTCTTACAGCCACAATTTTACAGCCAATTTTCCATGACATCTGGGAAAGAAACACCATACCAGATGAGTGGAACCATGGAGTCATCATTAAAATACCAAAGAAAGGCAACCTAAACGACTGCAACAATTGGCGAGGAATAACACTGCTTTCCATCCCAAGTAAGATCATGGCTAAAATCATCATCAGAAGGATATCCATAGCTGTAGATGTCAAATTGCGTAAAGAACAAGCAGGATTTAGGCCAGGGCGAGGATGTATTGATCAAATATTTACACTAAGAAACATCAATGAACAGTGTACAGAATGGCAACGACAGTTATATATTAATTTTATTGATTTCGAAAAAGCCTTCGACAGCATTCATAGAGACAGTCTCTGGAAAATTGTGCGGTCATATGGCATCCCACAACATCTAATAGATATCATCAAGAGTTTTTATGTCAACTTCAGATGCAGAGTTGGAAACACCAGCATCGAGTTTGACGTTAAAACAGGAGTCCGTCAAGGCTGTGTAATGTCATCAACACTATTCATCATAGCCATTGACTGGGTCATGAAGAAGACAACATCTGACATTCAGAGAGGCATCAGATGGGGTACATTTACAACACTAGAAGACCTGGACTTTGCTGATGATATAGCCTTATTCTCCCACTCCCACCAGCACATTCAAGACAAAACCAGCAGGCTACACAAATATGCAGGAAGCATTGGACTGAAGATAAACACCAAAAAAACAGAGGTCATGACCCTAAATGTAAACAACCCACAAGCGGTCAAAGTGGAAAATCATATCCTTCCATGCACCAACACCTTTACATACTTGGGTAGCAAAGTAACAACAGATGGTGGAGCAGAGACCGACATCAAAGAGAGGCTATCCAAGGCAAGAGCAGCTTTTAACAACCTACATACTGTTTGGAGATCAAGTCAGTACACAACAAGAACAAAGCTGAAACTATACAAAAGCTGCATTCTACCTATCCTTTTGTATGGATCAGAGTGTTGGAGAATGACAGAGAGTGACCTGAACAAGCTGTCAACATTTCATACAAAGTCCCTGAGAAGGATCTTAAGAATATTTTGGCCCAATACCATCTCAAATCAAGACCTTCTCAACAGGTGCCAACAAGAGGACATGGCCACAATCATCATCAGAAGACGCTGGAACTGGCTTGGCCATGTACTTAGAAGGGACTCAGACAGCATCATAAAGACAGCTCTCTTCTGGACACCAGAGGGAAAACGGAAGAGAGGAAGGCCCAAAGTCACTTGGCGGCGGACAGTGGAAGCCGAACTTAAAGTACAAAAGAGAAGCTGGGGCACACTCCAAAAGCTAGCCAGTGATAGACAAGGATGGAGAACCCTCGTTACTGCCCTATACGCCAAAGGCGTCACGGGCAGTAAGTAAGTAAGTAAGCTAATTCAGAGAAACTGTGTTCCCTGCTTAAGGTAAAAAGAACAGCATGTGTGGACCCTGGGGGGGGGGGGGCAAAACGGGACACTGTAAGAGGGGCAGGAGGGGGCATAGGGAACTTTTCATCATTTTTGGCAGGGGTAACTGCCAAAATTTCCTAGCTATTTTTATGTATAAACAAACACTATGGTCAATAGAGAACTCTTAAGACAGCATATTTACAACTTCTTCAGAGTCCTTAAAAAAGTAATGTTAACCGATTTGTACTCAATGTATTTATACAAGTATGATAAATATATTTACCTCTTTCTCAGGTGACAAATGAGACTGCCCTTGCTCAAAATATGAATTAGGTGACTCCATCAACTGAAAAATATTAAATACTGAAAACATACTTTTTTTATAAACACTACTATGTTACACAATTTTTTTTTAAGAATCACATATCTGTATTTCATCAGCAGGAGTACAAATATTTTTTCCTTAGTATTGATTTGAAATTCTGAATTACAAAAAACATTGTAGTCTATATTAATAAAAAAAATTGTTTAACAACAATTAAAATAGAAAAAGTATTTTCTGATGGAAACATTTACATCAATACAATGGACTTTCCCTGACATTAGACATACCTGTATTTTATCGTCATTGGTAACCATAGCAGTAGAACATGCACTTTCTTTTGGAATGGATTTGAAATTCTAAATTACATTATAAAGTACATTGTAGTCATTCAATTTTTTTTTACAACAATTAAAAAATAATCATTATTTTCTGATGGAAACATTCACATGAATATAATGGACTTTACATGCAACAGGGGTGTGCAATTAGCATCGCCGGACACCTGGGGCTACAATTTTTGGGGGTTCTTTGCACGAAGGTAGCCCCTTGGGCTAGTAAAAATGGGGTAGTAAAATCTTCATTGGTAACCGTAGTTGGTCATTGGTAACTCTTTTTACAACAATTAACAACAATAAAAAAAATAATCATTATTTTCTGATGGAAACATTTACATCAATACAATGGACTTTCCCTGACATTAGACATACCTGTATTTTATCGTCATTGGTAACCGTAGCAGTAGAACATGCACTTTCTTTTGGAATGGATTTGAAATTCTAAATTACATTATAGAATACACTGTAGTCATTTAAATTTTTTTTTTACAACAATTAAAATAAAAACAATTTTTTTTCTGATGGAAACATTCACTTCAATACAATGCACTTCAATACAATGGACTTTCCCTGACATTAGACATACCTGTATTTTATCTTCATTTGTAACTGTAGCAGTAGAACATGCACTTTCTTTTGGAATGGATTTGAAATTCTAAATTACATTATAAAGTACATTGTAGTCATTCATTTTTTGTTTTTACAACAATTAAAATAAAATCAGTATTTTCTGATGGTTACATTCACATCAATATAATGGACTTTCCATGACATTAGACATACCTGTATTTTATCTTCAGTGGTAACCGTAGCAGTAGACCATGCACTTTTCTTTGGAGTGGATGTTTTCAAATTCTTAAACAGTTAAAATCATATTTAGAAAGTAATTCATAAGGTTTTATTCTGAGATGTACCCCAGTAATTCAAAGCACATAAGGTTAGCAACAATATTCATATAGCAAATACTAAAACTAAAACTGCATTAAATTTGACATCAAACTATGACCCCTCCTTCCCTCAAAGGCCATGATTTCAACAAACTTGATGTCAGAAATCTTTCACAAAAGTTTTGTCTTTTCTGGCCCTGTGGTTCTCGAGTAGAAGATGGTCAAATGACCCCACATGATTCTATTACTTTTCTTAAATATCTCCCCTTGGATAATTTAAGTTTGAACAAACTTGAATCCCCTTTACCCAAGATTACTCTGTGGCAAGTTTTGTTCTTGAGAAGAAGATGAAATTGTATAAATTTTATGACAAATATGTCGACAACAACCAATGAAAAAAATTTGATCACAACAAGTTAATTATCAGAATATTACATGAAAAATTCAAGGAAATAATTAAGTTTAAACATAGGTAATCAAGGATTACAAAGCTCACCTCGACGAATGTTATCTTTAAGTAAGGCAACTTTCACATCATATTTTTTTTTATTTAGTGTACATCCCAACATCAATGTCCATGCAAGTTTGGTTTAAGTATGACTCATAGTTACTTGGAAATAGACCTGTTCAAAAAACGTTTATCCTGTTTACTAGTCAAGAAAATTTTGGTCAGTTCCAACATCCAAAGTAAGTCTGGAAGTTTTCATCCTTAGATGCACCATCTATGCAAGATTAATCATAACAAGCCAAAATGTTATATAGCTACTCCAAAAAAATTATCCTGGTCACTCATCTGGAAAATGTAGGTCAGATTCAGAATCCAAAGCAAGTCTGGAAGTGACCATCCCTAGCTACATCATCCATGCTAATTTGGTTAAAATATGGCTAAAATTCACTCATGTGGAAAATCTAGGTCGAATCCAGCATCTGATGCAAGTGTGGTAGTGTCCATCCCTAGATGCATAATCCATGAAAGTTTGTTCAAGGTAGAGCTTCTAGTTACTTGGGAATGGACCTGCTCCAAAAACTTCAACCTGGTCACTCATCTGGAAAATCTAGGTCAGATCCAGCATCCGAAGCAAGTGTGGTAGTGTCCATCCCTACATCCATCATCCATGCAAGTTTGGTCCAGATAGGGCCAATAGTTACTTGGGTATGGACTTACACCAAAAACTGTAACCTGGTCACTCAACTGGAAAATCTAGGCCATATCCAGCATCTGAAGCAAGTGTGGTAGTGTCCATCCCCAGATGCATCATCAATGCAAGTTTGGTCCAGGTAGGGCTTATAGTTATTTGGGAATGGACTTGCTCCTAAAACTTTAACCGGGACACCGACGCCAATGCTGGGGGTATAGCATAAGCTCATCTTGACTTCATCGAGGTGAGCTAAAAATATGCTGATATATAACAATTTGAAGCCCCCAAAAATTACAGGTAAGAAAACTGCCTTTGTGTATAAAACGTGAATTGTTAAGACTTATCATGATCCTGTAAATAATTCCCTCTGAAACCTTATGAAAAAGAGAAAATATTTAGACGTAACAGACTGCTTACATCTACTTACTTACTCTTATTATTTAAATACCACTGTAAATTAATAATGAATGTAATTATTTTTGTTTACATACAGAGTCACACTTTGGATCTGTAATATCTGAGGGGATGTCTGGTAGGTCAGAATCATCAGAAATCTTTAAAAAAAAATGTTTGAGTCAAGTTATTAAACACCTGCAAATTGTTAAAAAACTAAGAACAAAATTGCTAAGTAGTAGTCAAAATACTTGTTAATCCCTTCCCTTAGTACCCAATGTAATATGTACTGTGTCAACATGTATATTAAACATTTTCCATTTTCTATAGGAGCATACAAGAGACAGGTTGGGTTATATTTTTTTTTCTTTTTAACACAACTTTTATTTGAAATGATGTTAAAGATTGTTTACAAGTGTGATATGGCAAATTTATATATAAGGAGAAATTTATATGTACTAACATGTACTGAATATTCTTCCACTGGCTTAGCTGCAGACTTTTTCCTCTTCCTCATTTTCTTGGAAAACTGCAGACAACAAAACATGTACATAGTAAAAACATTACCATGCTCAATTAAATGGACATCTCTTAGAACATACATTTCCAAATGCAAGAGGCTACTTTATTTCTTCCAACGATATGACTTAAAACACTAAATTTTAATCATTGATCACACATACATAGTATTAGTTAATTAACTGCTAACTATGAATGAACTATGAAAATCATTCTACATCCAGTATAAATGACAAGTAATGAGAATAATTAATCCTTCAGCTTTTTATCTAAAAATTATTTATCACAAAACATAATTATTTCCTGAAGCAATCTTTCAAAAAGCATAGGACAACTCATGCAGCTCTAAACTTCAGCTATTTTCGTGTTGCCAATATTGAACAACAGTCACCTGCAGTAACGCTGCACTCTAACAATTCTCATGTTAGACTGACAGACCAATCAACAATAAAATTGATAGACCAATGCAAAAACATTTACTCTTCTTGGATTTTTCTGGGGTATATATATAGAACAATATTTACAAGGGTATAACAATACACATTTATTGCTGGGTTCAAGGGCAATATACGTTTTGACGGACCCAAGAACCAAACTGTTTGCCTGAGGCCGTTAGGCACATATCACATACTAAGTATGTGATAATCATCATAAAGCATACCCTTTTTCATATCACATCCTGTATCAGCCCTCGACCAACATCAGCCTCGGGTCTTCAACTTTCTAACTGATGTTGGTGTCTGGGGCTGATACCGTATGTGATATGGAAAAGGGTATTCTCTTTATCCATTGTACAATATTCTTAAAAAATATTTATATCCTTGAAAATTAAAAGACTAATTACTACAGCGTCAAAGAATTTAACAAAATTTTTTTTATCTTAATTAATAGGGTTCTTATGCAATCTAGTCCTCAAGCTAACACTTTCATTTACAGTGATGCAAAGTATATGCCCTCAATAACTTGTTTCATAAGAGGAAGAATTCAAATTTTATTACTTTACAGGGAAATTTTTAGTTTTAGGACTTATCAACAATTTTGACAGTTTGTCACATGTTCTTATTCAAATTTAATTGAATACACACTGTATTTAGATAAACTAATATTGCATACAAGTTAAGGTTAGCATCACACGGGTAAATTTTTAAATATGGTGCACCAATCCAACATATACAGTTGAACTTTGAAATCTCAAAAATTGATATATCAAGAACAACCACTGATATCCTAAGTAACCTGATAGTCCAAATTATTTCTTCTTCAGGTATTTTAACCTCAAAATCTTAATAATTGATTATATCTTGAAGATTGGACAGAAGTCCAAGATAACAAACTTAGCTGTACTAGCACTTCATTTAAATAAACTTTTTTTTATGCTGAATTTTAATATACTCACAATTTGTGGTAATTCTTTTTTTGACTTTTCCATTACAAACTCCATTTCTGAGGACTGAAAGTGAAATACATGTATATTACATATCAAATCTTTGCTTTTTATGCTAAGTTCTTAATTTATCGGTCTTCATACACACAAAGTTTAACTGGTTAGTATTTATGTTATGCTTTTGCATACCTCACTGTCTGTTTCATCAGATATCTGAAATTATTGATAAACATATAGATATCATATTGCATAAACTAAAAAGTAACAAGTCAGAGCTGATCAAATGATTATTTCATAAATGCTTCGAAATGTAAAAGTTAAAGATCTGGAATAATGGTTTTGAACAAAATGTATACAAGCAGAGAGACAGAAAGAGATGGTCAACTCAGTACACCCCCACCACATAAAAAATGCTCATTATGGGTATATACATTGTCTATTACTCATATTATAGCTATTAATGATAAAAGTCTTATTTAATTAGCAAAATCTCCAACACAACAATCCTTTTTCATAAATATCTATGTATATTATCGCACTGCTAGCTCAAATGACTACGCCTGGTGAAGAGAAAATTCAGACTTGGCAAGTTAATCCAAATGAATTTTTTTCACAGTTACTTCTGGAGCCACAATCCTTTGCGAATTGCATGTTGCCATCATCATGTATGTTTTTAGCTTGAACACTTTCCCTATATGATGTCATACATTTCATGGTTGAGTAAATCTGGGCACAGTGACCAAGGTGATCTTGTGACCATTATTCACAATTTCTAGTCAAGTAATTCAATAATTAGTGCATATTATGTTACCCATGTTTTTTTCACTTCAGTTTTCTTTAAGAGTACATTATAAATTAATGTATATAGATACTAACCGTTCTCGGTGAAGAAATCTTTGGTAGTTCCTGGTCCTACAGATAGAAAAAGAATTCATTATTCAACAACAACCAACCTTATTCCATTTTATTTTCTGCATTCAGAACACTGGTGCATATTAAAGTTATAAATATTACCATAAATGATAAAAGAATATTTTTTTTTAGACTGAGAATATCACAATGACAGAAAATAAGATTTTATAATGAAGATATACAGGATGCATAATCATTTAATTACTGTTAACATACTTTTTTCACAATGTCATGATTCCACGTAGTCACAATTTCTATTCAATCCATGGATATAAAATTTTAAAAAACGGAAATAGATTTCTTAGAGTGCCTCTATAAACCTTATATGTACTTTAAGTATGCTGGAGCAAATTTCCGCAGAAAATTTGTGACACCGTACATAGTGTACATTGATACCAAACAGAAAAATGTACTTCTACAGTATTCAAAAATTCATGAATGGCTTCTACACTGATAAAAATTTAGAACTTTTTCACATTATTATTGATGAACAAGTCAAACACTTTCAGAAAGTGGCCCATGGGCTAGAAAACTCATGCGAGTCATAGCCTTGCTTTTCTACATCAGGAAATTGTTTCCAGTATCATGTGCAGGCCTTTCAAAATAAATTTGATAACATACGTAATTGAAATTGCTTATAAGGTACCTCCTATTTTTGTACAAGTACCAGCTGATTCTAATCTTTCTGAAAGCACTGCATGTGTATAAACCTATTTAAAATTTTATTTACTATTGTGGCTCTACTCTACCAAATGGAGTTCATAATTTGAAAAAAAAGAGGGATGAAATAACATTATCTGAGGATGTTTCCATAAGTTATGACAGCTTTGCAGTTCTTGAGAAAACATTCTCAAAAAAGTTCCTGTACATTCTTATGAAAACTTTAATCCCCCTTTGTGGCCTAAATCTACCTCATCTACCCCCAGCTGTCAAGATTTGAACAAACTTTAATCAAAACTTCCTGAAGATGCTTCAATATTCATAAGTTTAATCATGCATTTGCTGTTCTTGAAAGTAATTTTTTTAAGGACTTCTTACGCATATACTGTAAAACATGTTAATATTAAAGAAATTACAGAGACAGACAATATTGCTTTGGAATAAACAATTTATTCATTACATCCATTAAGTTCGATCATCATACATTTTTAAACCCATTGGAATAAAAAAGATTGTAAACCTCCATTCACTCTGAGCATGGTTTACTGTACCTCTATTATGTAAAACTTGGATCACCTACTGTGTCCTCACCCTTATACACGGGGGTCATGATTTGAACAGACTTGTATTTACACTACCTGAGGATGCTTTCAAATCAACATGACTAATCAAGGCTTAATTTTTCCTGAGAGTAAGATTTTTTTCAATGTATTCTTAAGTAAAACTGATCATCCATTTTGATCCCCCCTATCCCCAGGGGTCATGATTTGAAAAAAGAATGAATCAACACTACCTGAGGATACTTGAATTTCAGAATGACTAGCTTCACTGCTCTTCAGAGGAAGATTTTGAAAGATGTTTTTCTATGTAAAAATGTGATTGTCCAATGTATCCCTACTCTACTCCCAGGGGTTCTTGTTAAGATTTTTTCCTACATATTATCATGAACAACTTTCATGCATACTGTGGCCCTAGCCTACCCCAGGGTGGGGGTTATGATTTTAACCAGTTTGAATCTGCACAATGCAATATAACTAACACATATGTTATAAATTTTCTGGCCCAGTAAGGTTTGAACAGAAATTCTTTGAAAGATGCCATTAAATTTTATAGCAAGTTTGGTTGAAATTGGCCTGGTGGATTGAAGATGGAAATATGAAAAAGTTTACAATGACAATAATAACAAGAACAGGCAATTGACAAATTTTGATAAAAAAGCTCAATTGTCTTCAGATCAGGTGAGCTCAGAACTTCAAATTAAAAATTTCGAACAATTCAAACTGAAATATATAACAATAAAATAACATAGCCAACTGAGAAGCAATATTTTTCCATATCATATTTATCGATAACCAAGCTTTAAGCAATTACAAATCACCACTCTATTGTGGCTCTATTTCTCAATAATATAATCTTTCTTCTTTAATCATAACTTTCATATATATGACGTGTTCAAATAACAATAATAAAAATAAGGCACTGTCGATAATGCAACTTTAATGGTTTGAACTTTTAACAAAGGATAGAAAAGTGGCACTTGTACTTCAAACTTTGCAACAGCAATAATAGAATAACAATCCTTGCTTTAGTCTCTTCTCTAGTAAGATTTATTACAATCTAGACTAAAACTGAAGAAGGAGTAGCCTTTTAAAGGAATTTTACAGAAATTTGGATTTCAGTAACCATGGCAACATCATTCAGCCAAATTATAAAATGATAAAGACAATTAGGTATCCCTGTGTAGTCTACTGTGCCACGTTATATTAAAATCAGACCAAAGCTGTAGGAGGAGTAGCATTTTGAAAAATGCACAACGTACACCTTACTATCAGATAAGCTCCTCTGGTCTCTGACCAGTAGAGCTGAAAACAAGAGGAAAAATAATTTTTTTAAAAAAATTGCTTCTCAGTTGTCTGAAATACACTTTCAGCTTTTGACCTGTGTGCAATTATTAAAATTCTCCAGAATTTCTTGTCGTCTTATAAAGGTGAAATAATGCATTCGTATTACACTGAATTAATTATGTCAACACTATGTCTTCATATATAAAATATGGATAATGCATACATTTCATAAAAAATATATGAGGAGAGCATCCATTTTTTTAAAAAAAAAAATGCATTCAGTATTTACTAAAACAGCCATTACATTTGTCATTTTAAAAAATTTTTGATCAGAGTACTTCATAGCTCTTACCTTAGTTGAATTAGAAAATTAGTATCAAATTCTTAGTAAATTATACTTGAAATTATAGGGCTTTTCTCACCTTTTCCTTTAGCTAAGGCATATATCTTGGCCTTCCTTTGGGTTTTTAAAGCAGAAAGATTTTCTATATTAAATGCTGCAGGTTCACTTAATTCCTGTAAACCCCCTGGTCCCATAATAAAAGGGACAAAGGATATCTTTCCCCTGAATTGGCTAGTTAATCTTTTCATCCAGTCCTTCGCATTTTCTCCAGGTTTTACTGGCATCTTTAAAGTCCCTGTTAAACCAGTTTCACTAGGAAATGCTCGTTTAAGTGCCTTTTTCTTTCCATCCATAATTTGGATTTGTATTTCCTAAATAAAAGTTTGTATAGTGCAGATCTTACGACATCAATACTAGTACCAGGTAATCTATTTTTTGTCTTTATACCAATTTAGTTCAAATTCCATTTTTATCATGAGTGTAATAAATTCTGCTAATGTTACATTATTATACAAAGTTGGATAATCAGTGTAACAATAATAGGATTGGGGAACCTCTACCTTCATCCAGGTGCAATGCACCAGCTGAAAGTATAGGGAAAAAGAAACACGTTGAAATTAAATTGGCTGAAAAATGTACTTTTCCACTATAGATTCAAGTGTTATATACATGTAACCCAATCCTGAAGGGAGAACATATACTAAGTGATATACATGTATATGAGAATGTATCAGTCAAACATCAGCAATGAATCCCTTCAATAGCGATGATGATACAATGAAGTGGTAAAATTTTCCATTGGAATGGAAGGTTTTGTGATTTCATTTGAACATTGAATGCCACATAAGGACATGCCCAATTCTTCGGAAAGGCCAATAAATGTTGTGGTAAACAGGATAAATTCATACATATACGTATACTTTTGTTGCAATATGTTAGTTTTACAGAAGGGGGAGTCTCTAACTATCTCATATAATTTCTGAAAAATCTCCATTTCAGAAAAACTCATGTTGCTAGTCCCAGAGAGTGGGGTGCCTGAAAACATTGCAACAAATACATCTCTCTTGTTTCTAAAGAAATGGGCGGGTCATTATGTTACAATTGATGTTCGAAAATAAAAACCATACCATTCCATTCAAACAAAAAATTCCACCACTTCAAGGCACATGGTTGTATGATAAAACTATTCACTCATTTCTTTACATGCATGCCCGAAAATACAACTTTGTAATAAAAAAAATGAACGGCATTTCACTATATACATGTACTGCTTATAGTCCTGCAACCTTTACATATGGGTGATTTCTTGTAAGGTTGAAAAAATTTAAATCATTCTGAAAAAAATGTATTTACACTACAAGATCACTCACATTCACACTGCTCCTCTCCCCTTTCTTTTCTTTTATCTCTTTCTTCTTTGGCAAATATTTTGCTTTCAGTATTGCAAGGCTTTTCTTTGCATCTAGATTTCAAAATTTTGAAAGTAAAATTCAAAAGAGAAGTGTATTCTGGCTAAGATACGGAAATTTTTATACTCATATATGATACATACACATACATGTATGTATTATCCTTAAATTTGCAATAAAATTGCAATTGTACTGGTCTTAAATATTAGCTTAAAATTATTACCTGGTGAGAGACATCCAACCTCTATTGCCCGACTGCCACTTGTAGCTGAATCTTTATCTACAAATATAACATTACAATAATATAACAATAATAACACGTAAATTTAAATGTATTTTAAATACTTATGATAGCTTTCCCAACATAGCAGCTAGACTTCCATCTCCTTCAAAAACAATAGGCCCATGGGCAACAATCTCACCTGAGCAATTAACCACACTTCTGTTCTTCATCAGCAGTTTTTTTTTCTAGATGCATATATATATATATGTATGTATGTATTTTCTTAAATAAACTTTGATCACATATTATAGTTCCACTAGGCCATGACTTATACAAACTTCAATCTACACTACCCGAGGATGCATCCATATAAATATTACTAATCATGGTTTTGTTGTTCTTGAGAAGAAGATTATTAAAGATTTTTCCTATGTATTCCAGTGTAGAGGTTTAACCCTCTGTTGTATCCCCACCCTACCCCTACCCCTGGGGATTATGATATGAAAATTTTAAATTTACAGACGTAATAAAGCTTCATGTAAGTTTCGTCTTTTCTGACCTTGTCTTCGGAGAAAGATTAAAAAAAAAATAATCCACAAAATTTCAGGAATTAATATCCAATTATGAGGTCTCAGCCATTTCTGAAGAATTCCCTTTATTTTATCCATCGAAATATGCATTAATTTTTGACCACTACTTTGAAAAGTTAAATGCAAGTTATCTCAGCAGAATACATTCTTTAAGTATTTAAAATCTTCTCAGTGACCATGTGTTTTTTGATTATTTTTATTACATACCTTTAACATGTTGAACTTGAGCTCCGCAATTCCCACAAAATTTCGCGAAGTCAGCGAGGCTTCTCCCACATTCCATGCAAAACATGGTGATCTGGAACATCATTTTATTCATTAGTATGTAAAATCTAATTAAAATATTACAGAAAATTAAATAAACAAAAATAACCATCTATTTTAAACACTGTTAACAATATACACTGGTTGGAGAAAATCAGGTGTTGAAATTGTTCTGGAAAACCCACTAGCCCAGGGGCTACTGATCAGTTAAAATTTACTAGCCCAAATCTCTAACTAACTAGCCCAACAATTTTCATGCAAAATGAAAACATAATAAATTAAAGTGTCAAATACTTTGGTAACAGGAACAAATTTAATTAGTTCTCAATCAAAAGAAAACAGTCTACATAGAAAACCTTTGATAAACTGAAGATCCAAAACTTTTTTTTGTTCTGCTAGTCCAACTGACTATCGTTACATTTAAATTAGGTAGCCCGTGTCTTAAAATGACTAGCCCCAGGTGTCAGGCTACCGTATATTTCAACCCCTGCAAAATTCCATGTTAAATGAGGCTAGGTGATTTTACATGAAAAAGTCTGGAAAAAATTTTTATAAAATGAGGTGGGGTGTGGGTCTTTCAGGGGTCTAATGATAAGCCTCCTTCACAATTAATATGTATCGTATAATGATGTACCGGTACTTGAATTAACTGTGAAATATTATTTTGCAAACTATCAGTCCTCAACAATTATGTTTTTTAATAATTAATATTACACTGTGTAGCATGTTTTTAGCTAAGTCAAACCTTACTGAAATGAATAATGATCCTAACTAAAAAAAAATTGGAAATAGAGATTTTGTTTGTGTATCAACCTAAAGAAAATAAATACTGCATTAAATTGATATCTCACTGAATTGTTTCACCTCCAGAATTTATATTAGTACATGTCCCTGCAGCAATGAATATTAGGAACAGTTCCATGCATCATTTATTTTAGATTGGCCCAATATATTTCTGCTCTGCATGTTTATAAATTTCACAATGCTCCCATCAATTTGAGGATAGTTGGGCCAATTTGGCCCAATCTGTTGCTTGACTTTCCCAGGCATTGCAAGGCTTACAAAAGAGCCAGAAAAAAAAGAGGAAAATTATGGCCAACAAAAAATATCTTTCTTCATTTTAGGAATTAAGTTCAGTTTAATATGTGAACACTGAAAGTTTAAAGATATTATGTTTTAACATTCTGTATATAATTCATACATCAACAAGCATTCTGAGAGTATTGCATAAGCAATACATGTCCCCTACCGGTATCCCCTTTTTCTTTTAAGGATGTCATTTTGTAAGACCTTGTATATGATAACTGCCCCCCCCCAAATGTGGACACTTTGGATTACTTGTTTATGAATGAAATGTTGGAATGAAATCTGTCTTACAAAGATGTCTTTGACTAAAATCACATAATGTATGAATAACATGACAATTACTTATGTTACTCGTTTTCCCTAACCTGGCATTTACAATCCCGATAAAATATCTCTGTCTATCTAAATAAATAGGGATATAAAAATTCAAATTGGGGAAAATATTCAGTCTTGATTGCATCTGGTATTATTTTGCCAAGTATATTAAGTATTTGCTGAAGAAAAATTGCTGAAAACAATGCACAATATTACTTTACCGTCTTCTTTCATAATCCACAACCTCGTTTTTTGAACATTTTAGTGCAGCACGAACCCGATCGTGAACCGATTATATATTATTTTTTTTTTTTAGAATGGCTGAAAAATTCTGACACAAAAGGGGGAAAAGTCACTTAACCCGAAAATCCTATTTTGTTGTTTGGGGGTGGGGGGTGGGGGTGGGGGGCTCTTTTTTCACAACTGAATTTTCTTCATACTTTACTCTATTTCCTTTCATAGAACATTTCTTACGCTAAAAACACAACAAATTATTAATATTCCTCTCCTCCATCTCTCTTTTAGCGAATCCAAAGTGGGGGGTACAAAATATTATTTATTACTTTTGATACATGTTTTTCTACCAAACATCCAATAATTTTATGATTAAATATACGCCAAACAAGAGGTCCAGGGTAAAGTGATGGACTTTCTGAGTATCTACTGTTTTGTATAGGGATTAGCACGATCGTCAATGCCTCCAGCACATGCACCTGAATTTATTATCAATCAATAAGCCAAACATCGAACCCTACCCCTCTCTATATTTGGCTTTATTGATAAAAATTCAGGTGCCTGTGCCTCGAGCGGCGCTCCCCTTACCGGCTAAATATCTGGACCTTTCATAATATGCATGTTAATGTAGGCTAAATGTAGCCTTACCTCTTTCCATAAATCTCTCACTCTCTCAGTCTTTCAGATACTCGGTAAAAAACTTTCGGTCGTCTCTCGAGGTGCTAATGCTTATATATAGCATTACCATCACGTGGTGATCTGCTTCCAGAGGACGTTTGATCCAGTCAAGCGTCCAAATAATGATGTAGCTCTGCAATAATTATGATCTTGCGAGTTTCGCTGTCAAGTAAAATTATAATCGTACTGTGCATCCGAATCATACAAACGTTTGATTTTGTCAAGCGTCTAAATAACAAGCTTATCTTTTAAAAAGATTGGTGAGCTAGCGCAGTAGCATAATAAAATACAGAAGAAGATATCTGAACCATTTGTTAAATTTGCTGAATCGATTAATTATTAAGAGGGCTGGGTGGTCGTGACCATTTTTAGACTATATTGATCTCCTTTAGAAGAAGAGCTCCATATAAAGATATACAAAAATGATCAAATTTTAAAAACTAAAATGTATGAATTTTTTCTTTTCCAAATGATAGTTGACAGCTTAAGATATCATATCTAAAAAATAAGTTACATCTGATGGTTAATTTGTTGACCCCCCAGCCTACTTAAGGAGTTTAGAGGTGGGTGGGCACAATTCAAAATGGTGAATCTAAGAATGTGCTTCACGTCGGCAATGGCATAACTCCTAACTGTGCTTTAAGCATTCTGTATTTTACTGTAATTTCAATTTCGAGGTGAAAAATAAAAGGTCAGTAGAACCAATGAGCACCTTCTGCCCTTTCCGGCAAGCTCGGAAAACATATCCGAGGTTGCCGGAAAGATCCATGAAGGTAGATTAGAAAAGCTATGTATTCATTACAACTTTAGAAATAACAGTCTTGGTTTTATAAGACCCGAGTTACTGTTACTTTTTGTTCATTTACGTGCAGGTTGGACAACAAAACACGAAACTTCAGATCATATGTATTTTCAGATGATAAACACTAAATTGACATGTCTTTCCGACATACTCTGAAAAAGATTTTTGTTGTTGTTGTTTTTTTCCGAGCTTGCCGGAATTATCCACTAAGGTGGTAAAACTGTAAGGAAAGCTAGATGTCTAGAATCTTGGCATTATATGGCCAAATTTTTTCTTGTACTTTTATGTGTAGGTTAGACAATAAATTAAAAAAAAAATTCAGAATCCGGATCTAGACTGGTATTGACTGTCTCTAACATACGAAATGTATATCGCGCATATCAGACAGGAAAGGCCAGTGTAAATTCGGATCATTTCTATTTTTGTATGACAAAACGAAATTGTTATCGCACAGTCTATCTACAGTAGTTTTCCCAGAATCCCCGACCGTGAAGTCGAGCATGCGTATTTCAGAAATATAGACTAACGTAGTTGCTAGCGCTCGAGAGCGCTAGCAATAATGTTGCATCTTAAATTTCTGGTCGACATTATTATTATTGTTGGAGTAGGAGATTATAATTGTGTAACGTTACCGATTTTTAATATATTCGATCAGTGCATATTATCTATTCAAGATATATTACTAAAGTCAGGTACTCTTCACACAATTGCTCCGACGAAAATAGTTCCATTCATGATCAGCAGATACAAGATTACAACAAATGTTAAGAATAATGATGTATATTTAATACGTTAAAGAAAACAAAATTAACGTAAAAAGATTTTAAGAAAATCATCTTTTCCCCGGAAAAGCAAATAAAAAGTTTTCATATTCCTACGCTCGCTGCCTCCTCAGTCTTTTTCCCGAAAATATATAGGTCATACTTCGATTGATAATGATAAATCTTTTCACCAGTTATATTACTGTCATTATTATTGTTCGTTCATTGCCTTATAATTTCTTTTGAATGGATATATGTTAATCATTGACTGTGTGGTTTTTTTTCTCTCTTTTAATGAATAACGGAATGGTTATTATGGTTAAACACCTGCAATCGTAATGAAATGGGGTTCGTTTATATGAGAATAATGACAAACGCCATGCTGTCGTTGTTGATAAATATATTCACTCTCAGTATAATCAGTATTATCACAGCTCTGAAATATATATAAACAATCATAAATATTTTATAACAAAGCATACATGTATGTAGATCACTTGCCAGATAGCACGGTCAAATGAAGAGTTATTTCCCTTTAATTGTGCTCATAGATAAAACATTAAGAGTTATCTTTCTTAATCAATAATATGTACAAAGTATGAACACTCTGGAATATATAGATAAAACAATGAGATCAAATTATACTGAACTCTTCCAGAATAATATAATTATATAGACAATATTCAAAATATATATACATCATACCTATATGTGATATAGAGCCATAACTCCAATATATATATATATATAGCTGAACACAGCTGTACTCTATTCAGTGATCTGTGTATGAATAATATAAATATAACTTTACTATATTACACACTTATTGTCACAGATATAAAATATACTTATTACTCTGAATATTTACAAAGTCATAAAATAATCACACAAACTGAACTTTCATACTTTATATTAGAATATTATTATTTGGGAATTTACCAGATAAACAATTATATAGAATATGAAATTAGTAAAAGTAAACTTACATTCTGTCCTGTCTTGGTCATTGTCATAAATAAGTCATCATATCAAAAGCCAATATGTCTACTCAGACCAAGATCTCCAACAAAAGTAATTAACTAAGTAAAAACCAAAAGAGAGGGAAACTAACCAACCAATGAAATCCAAGTTGGCCTGGACACTACACAAGAT